TCTATTTTTTATCTTTCAAAAATGTTTTATGGTTTTCTTTATATATTTTTTGCAGATTTCTTGTTAAGTTCATGCCTAGATATTTTACTTTATTTTATTCCTCTTAAAAATGGGTTTTATCTTCTACTTTATTTTCAAATTGGGTGGCATTTATTTTATTTCCTGTTACTTTACCAAATTCTCCTGTTTGTAGCCATTTTTCTGATGCTTCTTCTCACTCCCAACTGTAGATATAATATCTGCATATAGAAATAGTTTTTTTAAAAAAGGAAATAGTTTTACCTCATGCTTTCCAATTCTTACGATTCTGTTTCCTCTTATGTAATTATTTTAGCTAACACTGCCAGCTCAATGTTTAGGTAATAGTGAGGACTGTGAACATCCTTGTATTTCCTCTGGAGACTTTAGCAGGAAAGCCTGTATTTCCCCATTAAGTTTGAGGGCAGAGGTATAGACATTTTCTTATGCATAATAGGTATCAGTTTTCATCTTATTGAATGTTGAATTTTGTCAATTATCTTTTGGACGTCTCTGGAGATGATTATATGATTTTTCTTGTTAATTCTGTGAAACCGATGAATTCTAATAATGACTGTACTAGTATATTAATGAATATACTAATTCCTCCTGGAATAAGCACCTCTTGTACAGCATCTATTTTTTAATGTGATCTTGGATTCTGTTTGCAAATATTTAATTTGTTGCATTAATATTCATAATTAAGACTCGAATTGTAGCAAAAGCTGTCAGAGCCTCACCCAAGTCCCATTCGCACTTACCATTTGTGTACACATCTGCCCAATTTTCAATAGCCAGCGCTATAATTCTTTGCCTGAAGATTTTCTCTGGCCACTGGAGCCCTCTGAACTAGAGAGAAAGGAGCAAGCCAGAAATGCAGGGAAATTCCCACCCCCTAGGAGCACCCCTCAATGATGACTGACATAAGCTGGTGGATAAACACCTAGTATCACCCAGAATAATTGGAGAATTTCCCAGAAGGATTAAGTTCCAATTGCCCTTAGTGACAATTTGCTTGGTAGTAACACATTATTGAGTCTCTTCTTTGCATGTTTCTCTTCCCCGTTCTGGCTCCCAAACTGCTTGCACTTGAACCTTATCTCTAGGTTGGCTTCTGGGGAAACCTATATAAGCCAAGTCTATCATTTTCTTTTTTTGTACAATCTTTGTGAAATTTGGATATCAATGCTATAATCAATTCTTAGAATCTGGGACATTTACTTTCATTTCTAATACTCGGAAATAGTTTAAGTAGTGATAGATTTGTCTCATCTTCAAAGGTTTGATAGAAATCCCCTATAAAACCAACTGGGCATGGTGTTTTTATGTGGGAGCTCTGACAAACTTCTCTATAACTTCTATAGAAATAGCTCTATTTAGAACTATTACTGATACTGGGGAATTTTTGTATATTTCTGGAATCTTATCCATTTCAAATGGTTTCATATAGATTTTCAAACTTATTTGCATAGAGTTGTGCAAGGTAGTATTTATAAGTTTTTTGTATATTTCCACTGATTTTATGGTTATTATTCCATTACCTTTTATTTCATATATTTATACCTCCTCGTCTCCCCTATTTTGGTCTAGGTTAGCTAGTGGTTTGTTTATTTTCTTGACTTTTTAAATACTTAACTTTGGGGGGCACAATTTCATTTCACGATTTCCTCTTGATACAAGGATTGTTTGTATAGTTTTAGGTGGAAGAGACTTTTTTATGTCATTAATTGCTAGTTATATAGAATTGTGACCATAGAAGGCCACATATCATTTGCATTCTTATGAGGTATTGAAATTTTCTTTGTGGACTACATGTCAATTTTGTGAATTTTCCACATGACTTAGAAGAAAGTTTAATCTCCATTATCAGGATTCAGTGTTTAATACACATTTATTAGATCTACTTTGTTGATAATTTTGTTTAGTTCTTCTAGATCCATATTACTTTTTTGTCCAATTAGGTCCATTCTGTTCTGAAAGGGTAGACTTTCTGTTTATTTATCTTTGCATTCCTTTTTAGTTTCTGCTTTATAATACTTATTGCTGTCTTAGGCATGTGGATTCTAATGATGGTTTTCCTTTGTAAATTGTAGTGTTTAGCATTATAAAGTGTCTTTCTGTTTCCTTTTTGGGGGATGGGCCTGAATTCTTCCTTGTCTAATAATAAAGCTGTGACCCTTTTTTTTTAAGTTGAGATCCAATTGACATACAACACTGTATTAGTTTTAAGTGTAGAACATAATGATTTGATATATGTATGTATTGCAATATGATTACCAGAGTAAGTTAACATCCGCCACCTCACGTGCTTATAATTTTTCCTTGTGATGAGGAACTTTAAGATCTATTCTCTAAGCATCTTTCAAATACACAATACAGTATTGTTAACTGTAGTCACCATGCTGTACATTACATCTCCACTATTTCTCTTATAACTAGAAGCTCACCCATTTCTCCCACCACCACTCCCCTCCACTGGCAACCACAAGTTTCTTCTCTATATTTATGTGTTGTGCTGTTTTTTTTTCTTTCTAAGATTCCACATATAAGTGAGAACACACACAGTATTTGTCTTTCTCTATCTAACTTATTTTGTTTAGCATAATATCCTCAAGGTCCATCCATGTTACAAATGGCAGGATTTCCTTCTTTTTATGGCTGAATAATATGTATATTAATATTTATATTAATTATATAGATATAATAATACATATATCTCACATTTTCTTTATCCATTCACCTGTTGATAGACACTTAAATTGTTTCCATGTCTTGGCTGTTGTAAATAATGCTGCAAAATACAGGGGTACAGATATCTTTTTGAGTTAGTGATTTCACTTCCTTCAGATAAACACCCAGAAGTGGAATTGGTGGATTACATGGTAGCTTTATTTTTAATTTTTTTGAGGAACCTCCATACTGTTTTCCATAGTGACTACACCAACTTACATTTCCATGAACAGTGTACAAATTTTTCCTTTTTCCACATCCTCACCAACACTTGCTATTTCTTGTCCTTTTTTGTAGTAGCCAGTCTAACAGGTGTGAAGTGATATCTCATTGTGGTTTTGATCTGCCCCCCTTGCTTTTTAGATTTAGATTTTATTTAGAATGGATATAGATTAATCAGGTGTATTTAAATTTAAAAAATACCCTTTTATTTTTACCATTTTAATTCTATATTTTAGGTAAGTCTCTTCTATCTAATATATTCACTTCCTAGAAAATCTGAAAATCCTTTCCTTTTTATAGGTCAGTTAGCTCTATTGCATGTATTGATAAAATTGATTTGCTTTGCTTTGGTTTTGTCATAATCATATAAATTTCTTGCTAAAAGTCTGTTTTAGTTTAGCCCTCCCTCTCTCTCTCTTTCTATCTCATTAATTTTGGTATTTAGGAATATATTTATTTTATTCTAATAACTTTTCTCAATACCATTCAGTCCTCTTTTATTTTGATGTTGTCTTCTTACTATGAACAATATTGTAATTAGCTAGTAACTTCCTCTTTCTCTTCTCTCCTTTACCCCCCAAATCTAACTTAAAAGTATTATCCTTTTATTCCCAGTTTTTAAAAAGCAAGATTTCCTCTTCATATACAGTCTTTGCTTTCTCCCCATTTTTGATAATTTGTATTATATCCATAATATAAAACCTATAAAAATTAAATACTGTTCTTTCAACCTTATTCTCACTATTTCTCCCCAATTCTACTGTAAAATGCTCACCACAAAAACTTAAATTGAATTTCTCCAATTTTTGGAATCATATTCTCTGGTAAATTTCTCAAGAAGGCTATGGGAACAAGATTTCTTGAGTCCTTGCATGTTCATAATGGTCTATGTCTCTAAAACATGATCGTGTTATGTATATATAAGAATACATCAATAATTCAATAACGACAAAGCAACTTGTATTAAAATGGGCAATGGACTTGAATATACATTTCTCCAAAGTAGACATACAAATAACTAATAAACACATGAAAAGATGCTCAACATCACTAATAATTAGAGAAATGCAAATCAAAACTATAGTGAGTTTACAATTAGTTATCACCTCACACCCAGTAAGACGGCCACTATTAAAAAAAAGAAAGAAAAAGAAAATAAGCGTTGGTGAGGATGTGGAGAAATTGGAACACTTAGGCACTATTGGTGGGAATGTAAGATAGTAGTCACTATGGAAACCAGTACAGAGTTTCTTAAAAAGTTAAAAATAGAATTACTATATAGTTAGTAATCATAATTCTGTGTATAAATCCAAAAGGATTGAAAGCGCTGTCTCAAAGATGTATTTGCATAGCTATGTTCATTGCAGCATTATTGCAATATCCATGAGGAAGCAATATAAATGTCTATCTATCAAGGGATAAATGGGTAAAGAAAATGTGGTATATTCGTGGAATAGAATATTATTCAGCCTTGACAAAGAAGGGAATCCTTAAACATTGAGTCCGTTATACTAAGTGAAATATGCCAGTCATGAAAAGATATGAAAAAATACTTTATGATTCTACTTATATGAAGTATCTGAAATAGTTAAACTCACAGAAACAGAAATTAGAATGGTGGTTGCCAGGAGCTGGAGGCAGGGAGCAATGCAGGGTTGCTCAATGGATACAGAGCTTCAGTTTTGCAAGATAAAAAAAATCTAGAGATCTGTTACATTGTTATGTAACTGTACAGATAAAAACAGTTAAGATGGTACATTTTATGTTATGTATTTTTTCTACCACAATTTAAGAAAATAAACTTAGAAAAAAGCGAGAGGAGAGCAGCCCTACGGTGCACTCTTCTCGTTCGGATTCATTTAGCTAAAGCCCAGCCTTGCCACGTCTTTCATCCAATCACAGGGTCTCCACCTTCCTTTTCCCACGACAGGAATGACCTCGTAGCTCCGCTAGGTGTCGCCCGGCCGCGGGCCACTCTCGCCCCGCCTTTCGCCCCGCCCCTCCGATTTTCCTCCAATCGCAGTCCTGGCCCCGCTCTCTGCCTCAGCCTTTTCCTGCATCCGGGCCTGGAGGGGTTGGATCTGAAAACTAGCGACCAGCATGGAAGTCCAAGACGATCCCCAGTCCGGTCCCCGCTGCTCGTCGTCCTCCCGGGACGGCTCAGGGGTCTCGGTGTCCAAGGAGCTGCTAACGGCGGGCAGCGGCGGCCGCGGAGGTAACGGGCAGGTGACGGCGGCGTGGGGCGCGCACGTGCTGCAGCAGCCGCGGTCTGGGCAGGCTGTTCCCTGCGCAGGCCTGGCACTAAGGAGGGAGCCCCGGGTACGGTCGCAGGACTCCTGCTTGCCCCCAGCCCCTGGGGTCGGGGATTGTGCATCCGGCCTCGGGACCGGGGGTAGTTCCTGTATTATGCACGGTCGTGAACGCCCACCGCCGATCGCCGCAGCGAGACACCTCCCCTAAGGGGGCGGCTCTAAGGTGGGCTCTGGGTTTCAGCAGCTGGCTGGTAGGGGGAGCCGATGAATATTATGAATTCACCACCCTCTCTGCGCAGATGCCCACAGAGCCACCCTTAGTGCCGGTTTTTTCTAGAGGGAGACGGGTCCAGAAAAATCCTCATAGGATCTCAGACACCATAATAGAGAACTAAAAAGCAAGTGTTCAGATCCCAGCTCCACGAGTAATTAATTAGCTGGGGACCTTTAGGAGACTTGTTTACATTCTCAACGCCCCAGTTTTACATTTGGAAAATGGAGGTAATAGTACCTATAGATTTTTTTTTTTGAGAAGAATGCGCCTAAGATCTTGAGCACCTTCTTATTAAATATTAACTTGAAGAAAAGATTGTGTGAGAACCCAGAATATCAGAAGAAGTTACAGTAATAATAGCCAGAGCTTCCGTAGTACTTACAATGCCCCAGGAATTAATTCACTAATCTAATCCTCCCGACTGCCCTGGGTAGAAGGTTCTGTTATCCCTGTTTTGTAGATGAGGGAACTGGGTTCTGGTGTATCGTACAGATAAGTAACTTGCTGGAGATTGTGTGGCTGGGAAGTGGCAAAACTGGGATTTGAATCCAGTCGGCGAGGCTCCAGAGTCCATGCTCTTTAATCCAGTTGCTAAGGCCTAAGGTATAAGCAAGGAATGCTGAGCTGCTGCTTTGAGGGTGAACAGGATTTTTATACCGGAGTGAAGAGATTTTCTTCTTCTCCACCAGGTGTTGGAAATAGGGTGCTCAAAGCCTTGAGTTTTGAAGGACAAGCCTTATTCTCTGAGCTCTGATGGGCTGGAGAGCTAGGTTGATTTGAGGAGTAGTGAATGTTGAAACTGAATAAATGGAATCGGGAGGGGACAGCAATTCTCCAAAGGGCTGTTTTGTCTAGGTCGGATATCTTTGCCAAAGGGGAACTAACCAGGCAGGTGGGTTTTATAAATTAAGAAACTAATGCTCAAAGACATTAGGTAATTTGCGGAAAATAACACAGCTGGTAACCATTTCTGACCTCACTTAACCTTTACCGTACTTTGAACTGCTTCCTGCATTCTGTCATTGCCGACCCACAGTTGTCATTGATGGATTTCTGACCCAAAAAGATCTAGTTTAGTATGCATTGATTAGTCGGCATCAGTGGCACAGAGATGTAGGAGACAGGCTTAAGAAAGTGGGTGATCTACGTGCATAAAGACCGGAAATGTAACAATTTGTGGAGTTTTTCTTTCTTTAGAAAAATATCTTGGGAAATGTGGAACAGTGAAAACTTGAGGGTGGTCTCAGAAAGTTTGCTGATGGGCTCCTATCTCTTTGTGCTAGTAAATTAAGTGTGTGTGTTTTCAGGTATATGGGACACTTTGCTCATCAACTCCAAGCCTAATTCTAGAAAGAATTCCACTCTTCAGACAGTTCGAATAGAGAGGAGTCCCTGTAAGTACCCTTCCCCCCGCCTCTCTCTCTCAAGATCCCTTTCTGGTGTTAAATTCTGCCTAACTAAATGGTTATTTGATGGGACAGTGTCTGCCTTTGTGGTCAGCTATCAAACCAGAGTCCAGCTGAGCACACCTTACTTGGGATTTACTTCCCTGCTTTAAGAGGGTAACTTTGTGGGATGGATTTTTGGAAATCAAAACCAATTATTCTTGATCTCCTTGGAAAATTTTTTTCTAGGTTACTGAGTCCCAAATTTAATATCCATGTATGGGAAAACATCACCACATTCCATTAAATTGGACATAATTATTTAAATAGTAAATGTTACTCATACATGACATAACAGGGCCAGTTACTCTGATACTGCTGTATGCACACCCAAATATACATACCACTCAGATTTTGTTCATATAGCCTTCATGTAATACTCAGCATCTGTGTAATTCCCTCTTAATGTTAAAAAAAAAAAGAATAAACACAAGAATTAGTGAAAGTAATGTAACTAATACATGAGGTTATAATGTCTATAAACTAAGAAGTCATGAGTATTCTGAGGTGGGGAACTTAACCATAGCATGCGCTAAATTTATAACAGCTAAAGTGACTGCATGGGGCTCTCTACTCAAATATGAGCTTTTGTATGAACATAAATTTTCATTTTGGGGGCTATATACCTCAGAGTGGAATTGCTGATCATATGGAAAGTGTACTTTTTATAAAGAAGAACTTGCCAAACTATTTTCAGAGTTGGGTGCACCACCTTGCATTCCCACCAGCTGGGTATGAGAGTGTAATCACTGCACATCCTCACCAGCCCATGGTGTGGTCTGTCATCTTAATTTTAGCTATTCTAGTGCTATGTAGTGGTATTGCAATGTCTCCTTAATTTGTTTTCCCCTAGTGACTGAAGATGTTGAACATCTTTTCATGTGTTTATTCACCACTTATATGTCTATTAAAGGTTAATGGATATAGAATTCTAGGTTGACCAGTAGCTAACATATTTTTTTTAATCATTCAGTATTTTAAAAGATGTTGCCCTGCTGTCTTCTGACTTAAATTGTTTTTGATGAGAAGTCTGCTATCGTTCTCATCTTTGTCATGTATAGTTCTTTTTCTCTCTGGTTGCACTTAAGATTTTCTTCTCTGAAAGAAAGAGGCTGGAGGAATAACTCTCCCAGACTTCAGACAATACTATAGAGCTACAGTCATCAAGACAGCATGGTACTGGTACAAAAACAGACATATAGACCAATGGAACAGAACAGAGAGCCCAGAAATGAACCCACAAACTTTTGGTCAACTCATCTTCGACAAAGGAGGCAAGAATATACAATGGAATAAAGACAGTCTCTTCAGCAAACGGTGCTGGGAAAACTGGACAGCAGCATGTAAAACAATGAAGCTAGAACACTCCCTTACACCATATACAAAAATCAACTCAAAATGGATCAAAGACTTAAACGTAAGACAAGATACAATAAACCTCCTAGAGGAAAACATAGGCAAAACATTATCTGACATACATTTCAAAAATTTTCTCCTAGAAGAAATAAAAGCAAGAATAAATAAATGGGACCTAATGAAACTTACAAGCTTCTGCACAGCAAAGGAAATCAGAAGTAAAACAAGAAGACAACCTACGGAATGGGAGAAAATTTTTGCAAGTGAAACCGACAAAGGCTTGATCTCCAGAATATATAAGCAGCTCATACGACTCAATAGGAAAAAAATAAACAACCCAATCCAAAAATGGGCAGAAGACCTAAACAAGCAATTCTCCAAGGAAGACATACAAATGATCAATAGGCACATGAAAAAATGCTCAATATCACCAATTATCAGA